AATCAATCCAGGGGGGGGGGGCAAGTGCCCCACCTTGCCACTACCTGCGGGCGCCCATGTTAGTGACATACCAATGATTAAATTACCTTCCTCACCAGTGGCATCGCCATCAAATTTAACATGGCGGGTCCCTTGCAGGTCTTAAAAATATTGGTGGGTCCCAAATAAATGTATTAAAAATAAAAATTTAAACATATAAAGGCATTTAAAATGGAAGTTCTCTTACATGTAATGTAGTTTGCGCTTAATGAGCATATATAATATATACAATATTAGTAAGTAATAAAAATTTACCAGGTCATTTGCCAGGTCCCAAGTTTTTTTATCAGGTCCTGGGACCCGGCGGGACCTGGTGTAGCGTCGCCACTGTTCCTCACCCCCGGCGCGAACTCTCATAAGTGTGCCTCCCAAAACATACTCACATATCATTTATATAAATTATACATATATATATATAAACTCCGAAAGTGCCGCCTGGGGCGATTGTTCCCTTCGCACCCACCTAGGTTCGCCATCGCCCCATACGATCAGCCATTTTGTAGCATAGCAAGATTGTTTTCGTTAGATACGGAAGTACCTTAAAGTTTAGTTTTTTAAAAGTCATGGTAACGCGGTCTGTTTTATCGAGGCTACATCGTGAGGACACGGCCTTGTTGTTGTTTGTGGGGTGTGTACGTCGTCATCGACCTGGTGAGTGACGTTTGGTGTTACGGATTATTGGGTCACTTTCCCGTCGAAGAGCCCATTGATGACCGTTCGATTACTTGACATGGAAAGCCTTGAGGTGGGTTTCACAACATGCGGAAAAGAAGTTGACGGTTGCTTAATTGATAAGGAAAGGATCAAACCGTTGTATATCATGTGTCTTAAGATATCTATAAAGTACTTTCAAACTTGAAATAAGTCATTATTATAATAGGGCCAACATTAGCTAAAATAATATGTGTACTGTTAACCATATTCGTACTGGTACTCTATCAACTAAACAAACAGACGCTATTTCAATTATATGTCATGCTAACACATATCAAACGTTAATTTCCTGCTAACACATATCAAACGTTAATTTCATGCAAACACATATCAAACGTTAATTTCCTGCTAACACATATCAAGTGTTAATTTCATGCCATCACATATCAAACGTTAATTTCATGCCAACACATATCAAACGTTAATTTCCTGCTAACACATATCATATATCTCTTACATAAACCTGCAGAGTTTCAAACTTTATGGTTAGTATCTAAATGATAGATTCCCCTCCCCCCGCCCGCACAATTCCATTGATAAAAAAACTATAAATTAATTGAAGATCTGCTACATACAAAAGATCTGCTACATACAAAAGATCTGCTATATAAAAAGGTCTTTCAAAAAGCTCAGCGACACACAAAAGCTCTGCCAGATATAAAGATCCGTCACATAAAAAAGATCTGCTACGTACAAAAGATCTGCCACAAACAAGATCTGTCACAAAAAAGATCTGTCACAAAGAAAAGATCTGTCAAATACAAAAGAACTGCGACATACAAAAGATCTGCGACATACAAAAGATCTGCTACACACACATAATTCTTAGGCTAAGAGAAACACTACGTGGATTAAAATGAAATCGACCATCAGCTTTAAGAGGTGCCCCCTCCCCCCCCCCCCTTCCAACCCCAGCCACTCGTGTC